TCGATGTTGTCATCGGCATAACTATCGGCGATATCTTGCGACCCAAGAAGTCCGACTTCCTCAGCTGCGTACCAGTGAAATTCAACTGGGGTCGATGGTTTGAAATCGGCAGCAATAAGGGCCCGAAATGCCTCGATGAGATTGACGGAACCAGTTCCATCGTCATCAGCGCCGGGTGCGCGACCGGAAGAGGGACTGTTAAGGTTAATTGAGTCCATGTGCGACCCTAGGATAGTGACCGGGGTCGAAGCCTCAGAGCCGGGGATCTTGGCAACAATGCTAAATTGCTGGAACCGATGTGAAAACTTGGACACGGTAACGTCGCCGCGGTCGTCGGCAATCTAGGGTATTCCATCAATAGAAAGTAGCTTTTATTGTACCAGCGAATGGTCTCACATCAGAAACGGTATTTAGAATCCAGTTGCTTGCCTGTAACCCGGTGCTCGACGTATAGTATCGGCTATTGAAAGAAGTCAAATTCGTGAGATAGTTCTTCATGTTGGAGGTGGAGATCGTATTCAGAAGGGGTTTTACTTCTGACTGCTTCGACGGAGTGGGAACTTAATGGTAATCAATATCTAGTAAAATAGCAAAAATAGATACCAGACTCACAAGCGGCTTTACCCACCGAGACCTTCTTCTCCTTGGTGGCCAGCTTTTGCTCGAGTTCGTAGACATCGGTCACATCAAACTGAAGAGAAGATACGTTGGCTCAAGAAAAGATCTTCTGCGATAAGCCAGCGAACATACGAATTGCACCTCTTCGCGCATGAGCTGCAACTTCTCGTCTTCGGTCTTCCATACAGGATCTTCACCATCCACGATACTGAGAAGGCGATATCCTTGGACAGATTTCGTTTCGATCTCGTCGGAGGTAATGGGCGCCGATTGAACCAAGGTCAAAGCCGCCAAGAGGGCGGCGAAAACTGCAACTTGCAACCGCATCATGGATACAACAGAGAAGTAGAATCAACAGAGCAGATGACATGCACTGGTGACAACAGCTTTGATTTTATATGCGTTATTCGTAGCCATGTGTAGCTACAGAGACATCATGCAGTGACATGCACCGACAGCTAAGTGTCTTACAGAGACAGCTAATAACGCCAAGCCAAGATACTCGCAGAGGATGCACGCGAAGTGAAGAGACACGCAAGGTTCCTCATGGCATTTGAAGGTACGACAGAGAGAAGTATCGATTCGCAGAGCCATATGATTTCTAGCCATTTGCTGCAACAAAGCCTCGAATGAAAGTTCAGCCGTGAAAGACCCAAGAAATACCGCGTGCCATGCTGCTTCATGTCGTGAAATCGCAATGCAATCATCCTTATCTCTCACTGTACCGTATGCTTTCGAGTAAGCACCACCAGGGAATTGAAAGACCTTGGCAGAACCAGCTCGTGTGTGATGGATGCATCATGCCTTGATCATGCCTAGACTTTGATTTTTCCAAACTCCGTCACTCCGATGGAATTCAAATTCTTCGCTTTGACCTTGGCTCTATATAGCTCACATGCTTATCTTTTCCTTGGCCAATGGGTCCATTCCGGGGGGAAAGCAGTCATCCGAAATGTGGTCTGACGACAGAATCCGGAGACATCATTTAAGATCAAGCTTATTGTCCTGTATACCAGAACCGGTCGGAGATAGGCGCTGACTCGTCCTCCATAGACTATAGTATCCCCGTATGCGACGATCTGCAAGACTTATCCTTAGAGAGCATCATTTTCTTTATGCGCTACTTATTTATGGGTTAATCTCTGCCCTATGGGACCACCGTCATGGACTGCTTGGTTCGGAACGCCCCGCACATCACGGAGACAAATTAGACGGCGAGTTGAAAAGAAGAATATTTTTTCCTTTGATTGAAAATTTATCCGACGACTCAAATTGATGTGCTCCAGCTTCTTTCAAGCCCTCTTGTTGAGTCAGATGTTGGTCAGATGTCTTTGCCGGGAGTTGCGTGCATGCGAGCGCTATAAATTCATCATCGGCTATCTTATGGATTATTAACGATACCCGAAGGTCGATTTGATACATGTTTCAGCATGTATTTTTGGACCGGCGAACCGAGGCAGGACCAGCTCTACTATCGGTCCCGCCTTCAATTTGTCACGGCTACTACGAATCCTACGCCGACTTCAATTCTTTGCAATCATTTTCGCAGGAGCACTACTTCTCGGGGATCTTCATTAAATAGAACCAGTACGTCAACTGTGGAATTAACTTACGGTATGATGTGCGAAGACTCTCCGGCTTTATTTGGGACTGAACGCGCGATCCGATCATGACATTCAAGTCGATCCCCAGCGTCATCAAGTGTCCACTAGAACAAACAAAGATAAATCTTCAACGACGTCTCGATATCCAACTTGGATTCGGACTCCATCCAACACCACAATGGCCACCTCTATCGACGACAAGGTTCTTCAAAGCACGTCTTCTAGCCCTCTAATCGACTTGGAGAAATCCTTTGTCGATGTACATGCTACTAGTCTTCTCCTGGAGTCGCTTTCCATGGACTCATTATCAACAATATCTTCAGAATCTAATATCCCGCCGTTCCCTCCTGGATGCATGATACCTATGTCCACGATTCTCAGCGTCTCCGTCAAGGCGGGCGAGCACAACGCGACTATTACTGTTCCTACCCCTCCTCGGCTTCGTACAATGTTGAAAGAAAATCTATGCATCAAGAAGTGGGCAGTACGTCCGATTTACCCTGATGTTCCACATCAATTGATGAGGTTTGCAGGAAAATCTTTCTTCTGATACTATTGCACCCGGTCACACGCCCTGGGGGGATCCAGAATGTGTAGATGCGCTAGCATGGAAACCCGAAGGCTCGATGTACCCACCCGAAGAGTTCAGGGAATCTCTTCAGAGCAAGCGTCGCATTTGTGAGCCCAGCAATCCAGCTCCTCGGACGTCTACGCGAACTTCTATTCGTAAATCTACGTACCATCGCGATGCCCTGGTGTTTGAACGCGAAATCACACTCAGAACAGAAGGCGAGACGAAACGCTGGTCCGTTCAGATTCCTGCCAACACTATGAAGCCCGACGTGGTCGACATGATGCTGCAACTGCGCGATTTGAACAAGTATTTCTCTGTCCCTTCTTGCCCTGAGGAGGACACTGTCAATGAACCTCCTCCACCTCCATCTTAATGGTATCTAATTCTCACTTCGCCATACCTATATCTCTCGATTCTTCTGGAACTATCAACTCTAAAGCTGGCGCACCCTCTTCTATAGCGATTCGGCGGCAGAAATCGCTCCCCCCACTCTCCTTAAGCGACAACAAAATGAAAGACATCGTATACCCTGACATTCCTACCGCCTTTTTAGGAACGCCCTCATACGCTCCTCACTTCGATCCTGCTAGTGTCGCCAACGAGTCCATGAACCTCCAGGACATGGTTGGAAGTCTGCGGTCACGATGTGCGTCCCTCCAGGTCAAGACTCCGCTGGACGATGACTTCAACAACATACGGACCGATATGCCCCCCGATGATGAATGGGCTTTTGCAGACGCATTGAAACAACCTTTTTTTTCGCCTTCCTCGAATTATTGTGACACAACGGCTTCTCCATCGCAAGATGATTCCCTCGTACTTGCCGCAGGCGATCAGACTGTGCTGCTAGATGAGACGCTGGTCGGCAACGATAGTGCTATGGTTAAGTCCCTCGATCCTAATCACCTCGAGTTTTATGGGGTGCCGTCTGGGGTTCCGCCTGTCGCTTCGAATTACCTTCCTCCTTCGTCACCTCTTCCTTCTTGTCCAGCTGCTACAGGTGCCATCCTGCCACGCGGTATATTAAAGAGATGTAAAAGCGTCAGGTTTGCATCCTCGAACCAGGAACCCGAGATTCAGGCGCAAAGCGATGCTGCGCCACGCCCTCGCCATTCAACCGGTCCGTCCACACCACTTGCCCATCGAACAACGAAGCGCCGTATGATCTATGCTCCCACAAGCAAAGTTATACCCCCGCAGGATATCCCGCCTATCAATAATCAACCCACGTTTTTACGTGCAGCAGGACGTCAGAAGCCTGCGACTATTATTCGGTCTGCAATTATGTCCTCTCCTCCTCGCGCGATGTCGACACCACCCGTTGAAAGACGTCCATCATCTCTCCGCTCCCCAACGAAGACGAGGACCAGACATAGTCAACCTGCGGTATCTTCCCCTACAAGAACAACGACAGAGAAGCGCCCGTGCTCGCCGACTACGATAACAGCAACTCCGGAGGCACCCCCGAAGTCACGGCCTTCTCACACTTCTCACACTTCACCCCTTGGCCGTTATTCTTTTGGTCGTGCAGCGGTCAGTGCGATTCAAGGAGGTGCTAGCGGTAAAGAAAACAAGGCAAAATCGAGGGCATCGCTATCCCCGGCAGAGAATCCATCGAAGACGACGATAGATGAGAATTCGATAAGACGTGGGAGCCAGGGGGAAATGAAGAGTCGCATGCCGTTACCGTTGAGGAATATCTTAACACGATTCAAATAAACGTTCTATAACCCGTTCTAATTCTAAATGGGTCGGATTAATGACTCGAGTACTCAGTAAACTATAAGATGTCTAGGGGACTGAGTCTTGAGTGACGAGTCTTGGGTGGTGCATGTGCAATCGTACTACCTCTCCTCAGCACGTACAATGACACCCGGGCTGCCTTTGCGGGTCGATGCTTATTTTGAACGTTATCGGTCAGTGATCGTACCTACCTTTCCCCCCACCGGCCAGCAGTAGTCAACAAATATAACAGTATACACCGGGCCATGAGCCCAGCCTCTGACAATTTAGGATTGTCGTGACTCGCGCCCTCGAGAACATACACCTTGGTCGAGACACACAGACGGAAACGGGACGTGTAGGGCCACGGTGACCTGGTACTAAGTACAGTGTACATACTACTACATACTTTTTACTTAGTCATACTACGGCCGTCCCGGCCCGTGGCCCATGGGGCCGGGTTGGTGCAAAAGCAATCATCAGGGCCTGACCGGGAATTGAACCCGGGACCTCCTCGATGGTAGTCATAATGCCCTAACAAGGAATCATACTACTAGACCATCAGGCCAATGTCAATGGTGTTGCCTGCACCTATAGATTCTCAAATACGACGACTGTTCTGATTACACCTAAAATTACATTCTGAAAATTATACAAGGCCTACACAATCTATAACTATCTCAAGAACATCCCCGTCCGCGACCTGATCCCCCCCGGTTAATTCCTCTACCGGCAAAACCGATCCTGAAGAAAGGATTGCCACGAGCGATAAAGGGATCACCAGGATCTCGAGGTATGATTGGTGGCGTAAAGTGGCGGCGCGCCGGTGCCGCAGGCTGCCTTGGGGGGTTATCTTGCTCAATATCACTGTCCGCGTCATCCGTATTCTCCTGTTGTATAGTATTCATAAGCATCGCTTACGTCTTAATGGCACAGTAGCCATACCTCAAGGTCAATGACCAGGGCTCCAGAATGCCATCCAGATGCTGCGGCTGAAAGGCAGAACCTGTCCTTTGGTTTCTTCCTGTCATGGTCAAACCGTACTTCAGTGGGAACTTGGACAACAGCGGGATGGCCTCTGCCTCGGTCTAGAGCCATAAGCCGTTCATTTTCAGTCTGGAATGCACCCGGACAACCAGCCTCGAGCTGGCAAGGGTCCCCTAGTCCGAGAGCTCCATCGGAGTATGCACCCCAGCTTGACAATTTGCCGGCCGCCGTCACTGCCGCTTGATGATAGTCTCCGAGTACAACGGATATGACCGATTTGTTCTGAAGCGCAGGGATGATTTTTGGCTCGGAATCAGGTGTAGTTTCAATGTCTCCCATAAGAACAATCGAGCTAGAACCGGTGGAATAAGCGATGAAGCGCTTGAAGTGGGCGGATATCTTCCAAAGTCTAAGTCATCTTAACACCAAGGATGAAACAGACACTGACATGTGTGATTTTCATTGTCGCTGGAGGCTCTACTGAACCACCGGCCGAAGAAAACGTGCCGTGCTGTCGGACTCTTTCAACTTCGCTATATCTTGGTAACTAAGCAAAGGAAAAAGATTAACGAGTACCAGCGGAATATAGTAAGGAGCTACATATTCCCATCGGCCACGAGCTACGGTCGTTTCGTTTTCTAGGGAGCCAAACTTGAGGACATGGCCTTTCGTCGTAAGAGCAATCATATGACCGTCATACGATGCTATTTGTATGGCTTTGATGGGTTCGTCGATGTTGTTTTCCGGGGAAGTATTCAAGACGGGAAGAGGAGGTAAGGAAGGCAAAGCGACGGGATCCATATCAAGGTCCCAAGGCGCGCATGTAATAACACCGTCACTTGATACAAGGCCTTTCTTATCTCCGGTGTCATTCATCGCCAAATTCCTCTCTTCAATGAGTCTTTCCATGGAGCCAGAAAATGGCCACCAAACAAAAATGTCGCCGGTGTTCGTCAAAGCAGAAGAAAAATTCCACCCACATTCAACCTGAATTGGATGGAAATCGAACGCCTTGAGCCGGGGAGATGTCAACCGGAATGGTCGCCCCCAATTGATAAAGTTCCAAACGTAGCCTTGAGAGTCCATAGACGCCGCATGCAATCTCCCGCAGCTTATGTGTGTCAACATTAGCGCGCAAAGTAAAACGCGTGACCGACCTGATGCTGCGCATCGAAACTGGTAAATGCAGTCTCAGCGGGTGTTCTGCTTTCTTGCCTGCCTCAGAAAAACCGTCACTAGTCAGAGCACGCTGCTGTCCGTCAAGAGTACCTGGGAGTGAACATTGAGTCTACACACTTATATGAAAAGCATTCAACCAACCCCAAACGAAAATGTTTCCCTTGGAATCCAAGGCGTGAAACGACCTATTGTTGGATAGGGCGAAGAGTCACAATCCTGAAATGGATAAACGAAGTGGAGGACCCTTACATTCCAGCTGCGACAAGACTGACGATACGGGCGCCAGGTATTTTCAGCTCAGTCGGAAAAGGTACATCACGAAGCGAAGTTTTAGGCAGTGTTGACAACCCGAGTCTCCCATGAGATTGCGCTCTGCGCTCAACCATCAGTCGGATATATAAAATGAATATTGCGGTTTATAGAAATACTGACCCCCAAACGAAAACTATTGCATGATGGGTGTGTCACAATGTATGCTTGACAACAATGTCGTGAAGCGTACCGCGTGGTTTGAACAGACGTGAATAAATAAACTTCCAGCCACTGGTTCGAGCAGTTCCAGCCCCAGAAAAATTGAAGTCGGATTGACATTTGAGTTTCCAAAAAGTACTGTCGGATGCAAGCAAAGCAAAGAACTAGAACAAAGCCCAACAGTCACGACTTGGGCGGGATGTATATAGCCTGTGCGGGACAAGTACCTTGCATGTTGCAGCCAAATGGGCGAGATCGCTCGTTGGAAGTAATGGCAGTAAATTGTCCAAGAAGAGCTCTACGGGTAAGTCGGTTATAGAGGGCATTGCTACGGATTCAACGGGTGATGAGAGTAGAAGGACAAGAGAATCCCTGGAGTCAAGCGGATCGATAAGTGACGTCATTACATAGCCCGTCACAGCATCGCGACGTCACGTCATGCCGTGACGGCCCGCCTCGACGCCACCTGTTTCGACTGGTAAAGAAGATCATCGATCAGCGCTCAGCGACAGCCTGGAAGCCGGAAGCCCAACATTTCAGGCGCACCTCTAACAGGAACTGTGGAATATTTTTCGTGTTCAAACTTTACTGCGTTTGATAGAATTCGACTCTATTTGACTCCCTTTGAATGGTCTTTTTTCAACAACTCTACATTCCAGCAAGGGTGTCACCGGCACGGATATCGTTATCTCTATGCAGTTATTCCTCTCCTGAATATATCTCGAGCTGCTTATATTCGTCAACTGCCTCCGAGCGTCGGCCATCATTCCTGGACTGTGTTCTTTCTTTTCAATGGCGGACTCAATCTCGATGTTTAAATCCTTCTGCGGAGCAACATCCGTAACCCTGAACTCAATACATCGGATTGTCCGATGGTTCTTGACGTGTACAGTCCGCACAAGCGCCTGATTCCGTCATTGTATTCGCCGGTACTTCTATGTACTCTTTTTGGTAGTCTCTGTAAGTTCTCTTTGTCTCGTCAACTCCTATAGGACTATGTCGTTGATTTTGACTTTTGGGCCTGTTTCGCCAAACGGGGACTGTTCCGACGTTCCGTAGCCCGACGCATTCGCCGCTACATAATGGGTTCATTGACATTGACCTCCATGCCGTTCACACGACCGCCGTTGAACAACAGCACCGGATATTGGATTTTTTCAATACCCCCTCGTCTTGGTGAATCTGCCGATGTCCAAATATACATCCCCCTTTAGAGTTCTACAGCCACATGACACGAAATTCTCGTGTGTCCATTGTATACAGAGAAGGGAAATCATTCAGTTTTCCTCTGCGGGACTTTTTCTTGTGTCTGACTTGATCACTTGAGTACTCCTGACATTGACAAGCCGGAGAATTATGGTTACCGAAACGTTTATGATGTCTGCATTCGGTCTTTCAAGGTTGCAAGAAGCAGACCATCTACAACACCGGTCGATCCTTTACTTCACAATTGAATGTATGTTTTCTGTCACTGTTTATCTGATGTTCAGCATTAATCATGTTAAGCTTAGAAAACCGGCAGTGCATGCGCAAGAGTCTTGTCAAGATCTTTTGGGTCACGAAATTATAATGTTTATATTATCTCTATTACAACAGGCGTCTGGGCAGTTCCGTCTCCGGTATATGCACTCACGGAGTGTCAGAACAACCGAAAAAAGCGCCCAGCTACCGGAGTTGTATGCTTGTGCATTCATCCCCACCATGACCACCAGAACGAGGAGCCCTTTGTGCCTGACGTCGGACGCTGTAGCCACCTCATGGAAACCAGCGTACGGTACGACAGAATAGAGCATGAGGATGTCTCCTCTCAGTTCCTGTCGATCATTGTGGTGGACAGATTTTGCCGAACGTTCACCTTCGCCTTCGCATTTCCATGATAGCCTATACGTACACTCTTCAGTTACGGCCCGACCTTCCGCTGTCTTCGCAATGTGAGCAGCAGCATACAGCATGACATTGGTGTGCTTTTCATCTCAGCTGCATCCTCACTTGGTCACTCGCTCTTAGCGGACTTGTCGGCCAATACACAGGACCAACGGACACACCATCCCGTATAGGCATTTCGACCCGGTCTAGTTGCCCATCATTAACGCATCCACCAGCTCGCCCCGATAAAACTCGGCAAGGCACGGTCTTTTCTATGTGTCCGGTCCTTAATCCGGTGAATGCCTTGTCATTTTCAAACTCGCAATTAGGTTTCCTTTTCACCGGCGCGCTCCACATTTTTGTCAGTCCCTTCCTTACAGCCCTGGTTTCAGGGCTAAAACCTGAAGCAGCATTCCGAGGCTCATCCAAGGTTTTCGGTACCGCAGGGCACAACGGTAAATTATTTCCAACCCGAGGAGGCACTTCTCTTTTCATAGCCGTTCAGCCGTTTTTCTCACTCGTTAAGCGTATTGTTATCAAAAGCTAGACCTCTGTCTACATTTGAAATTTATACGGCTTTCTCCCTGAAGTGATCTTAATGATGCCTACGCCCGAGACCATTCGAATCCGTGCTTCGTATCATTTTTTTGATGATATACTACGCGAGGCAGGCAGGCAGCTACGCGAAACCTTGATCGCATATTTCACAGCTACCGTCGATTTGAGGGGACTCGAGTTCAATTTGAATGCTGACAGATCTCTCGACCTAGCCCGCGAATCAACTTTATTAATGAATGGCAGTCTATCCTTGTGCGCGACGCGTTACATTAAGAAAATCCACATGGCAGGGTATGTTAAAGGTTTCGATGGGATAACGTTAGTCTTGTGATTGAATAGCTTTGATCTGGTGCGGGGAATTCGAAGTATATCTGCTTTCTTCTCCCGGAGAACGGAAGGACGGAGGCAAATTGCGTAGGCGCCACAAGCGGGGCCGCCGGTTACAAGCGGTTTACAGTTTCAAATCTACATTTCCCGACCCTTTAGCGTAGCGATCGGACTCGGTGG